ACCGCGCCCGGCCCAGAAATCTTGTATAATGAGAACAGAGAGCCCAAGGTCTGTCCCTGATGAACAAAAGTATTTAAGGGGCACACCTCCCTTAGTTCTACTTTTGTCCATGTTGTACCTTCCACCTCCTTCCTTTATCTCTCTAAAGGCCATGTACCCTTCTGGGGTTCCCTCGAGTCCCACTGTTTCCATGAAGGTATCATGGAATAGTCCAGCTCACACTGTGTTCAGCTCATCACCAAACAATCTGGAATTAAAGCATGCTAAAGGAAACTGGACTGAGGATCAGATGGCCAGATCTGTTATATGTCAGCTCATCAGCAAGTCACCTAATTTGTCAAATGGTTAACAATAGTGACTCCAAAGGACTCAGAGGGTATAAGATCAAATGAAATAATACAGACAAGAACACTCCCACAAAATTAAAGAACCATATTTACATAAGGTTTTTGAACCTTTTCTTTCTTTTCTACATTTCAGTGCCTTGGTGACTGTTAAGTAAAAGCAAGTATATAATCATTTCTCTCCACACTTCCCACATACTTACCAAGCAAAAAGCCCATGAAAAATCTGCAGCAGCCTTTGATAGCAGGAAGACATTATGTGGTACTCCTGAACTTTCATTCCTGGTCCATCAACTACACCATGATTCTCAGCAGCTAAACACTAAAAATAAAAATGATTTTAGGACAGTTGCTTCAGTAATTGTCCTCATTTTCCTTTTTCCCAGCCAAAAATAAAACCTCATATTTGCTTAGTGGCTTCTAAGTCTAGGCTTCTGACCTGAAAATAGTTGTGAATGTTCTCCAGGTGGTTACACATTGGGGTCACCAGTTGAAAAACACAATGAACAATTTCTTGGGCAGATCTCTGTTGGAGATGTGAGAATCCAATATTTCGGCTTCCTTTGTTCTATAATAAATTCAGAGTTATGAGTGAAGAAATTGCTGGATAGCTTCTCAGAAACTAAGGGTTCGCAATGGAGTTAAGTCAAACCTGTGTCACCAGGTAGGAGAGGATGGGAGAAATGAGTTGTTCACCTAAGACTATATTCTAACAGAGGGATAAAAATCTTGCTCCATCTTCTAATGACTGAGAGATTGGCTTTTGTAGAGGAGGAACAGTGTTTGATTGAGACATATAGCCCTATCATAACTAATCAGATAAAGGTCACATAAAAGTAGAAATCATTTAGGTTGACAAATGTAGAGCAATCGACTCCTTCTTATAACTTTTTTTTTTTCTTTTTGAGACAAGGTTCTGCTCTGTCACCCAGGCTGGAGTGCAGTGGCACGATCACAGCTCACTGCAGCCTTGAATTCCTGGGTTCAAGTGATCCTCTCACCTCAGCCTCCCAAGTAGCTGAGACCACAGGCACATGCCAACAAACATGGCTAGTTTTTGTAATTTTTGTAGAGATGGGGTTTAACCACATTGCCCAGGCTGGTCTCGAACGCCTGAGCTCAAGCAATCCACCATCTTGGCCTCCCAAAGTGTTGGGGTTAAAGGCGTGAGCCACTGTGTCCTGCCTCCCTCTTATAATTGAAAAACAAACAAATAAAAAAAATGTAAAAGCCTGGGCAACATGCTGAAACTCTTATTTACAAAAAATACAAAAATTAGCTGAGTGTGGTGGCACATGCCTATACTCCAAGCTACTCAGGAGGCTGAGGTGGGAGGATTACTTGAATCCAGGAGGTGGAGGTTTCAGTGAGCCAAGATTGTGCCACTACACTCCAGCCTGGGCAATATAGCAAAGCCCTGTCTCAAAAAGTAGAGCCAATAGTGAATACAAAGAAGAATGAATTGCTGGGCACTGTGGCTCTCGCCTGTAATCCCAGCACTTCGGGAGGCTGAGGCAGGCGGATTACGAGGTCAAGAGATTGAGACAATCCTGGCCAACATGGTGAAACCCCGTCTTTACTAAAAATAAAAAAATTAGCCGGGCATGGTGGCGTGTGCCTGTAGTCCCAGCTACTTGGGAGGCTGAGGCAGGAGAATCGCTTGAACCTGGGAGGCGGAGGTTGCAGCGAGCCAAGATCAAGTCACTGCACTCCAGCCTGGCAACAGAGGAAGACTCCAACTCAAAAAAAAAAAAAAAAAAAGAAGAAGGAATCAAGAAACTGGATATATTGATGTTTAAAATGCTTATATCCAAGATTTTCTTATTTAGTTATATGCACCATCCAACTGCTTCCCCGGATATTAGGTGCATGTTCGTACACTACATACACATCTGAAGTTCTGGCCGCTCTAGACAGCTTACTACTACATTGAGGCATGGGCCCGGGCTTAGTTTGGGAGGCTGTTGAAACCAAAATTCAAGTAAAGAACAGGATTCAGGAATGTTTAGGGCATTTAGAAATACACTTTGTAGGTCGGGCGTGGTGCTCACGCCTGTAATTCCAGCACTTTGGGAGGCCGAGGTGGGCGGATCATGAGGTCAGGAGTTTGAGATCAGCCTGACGAACATGTTAAAACCCCTTCTCTACTAAAAATACAAAAATTAGCTGGGCATGGTGGTGCGCGCCTCTAGTCCCCAGCTACTCAGGAGGCTGAGGCATGAGAATTGCTTGAACCCAGGAGGCAGAGGCTGCAGTGAGCCAAGATCGTGCCACTGTATTCCAGCCTGGGCAACAGAGCGAGACTGTCTCAAAAAAAGAAATACATTTCTTATTCCAAGTGCCTTTCTATTTTCTGTTTCAGACTTCCTTTTTATTTTTTTATTTTTTTTAAATTTCTGAGACAGAGTCTCATTCTAATGCCCAGGCTAGAGTGCAGTAGCATGATCTTGGCTCACTGCAGCGTCTACCTCCTGGGGTCAAGCAAATCTTCTGCCTCAGTCTCCCAAGTACCTGGGACTACAAGCATGCGCCACCATACCTGGCTAATTATTTTTGTATTTTTAGTAGAGACAGGCTCTTGCCACGTTGGCCAGGCTGGTCTCAAACTCCTGACCTCAGGTGATCCACCTGCCTCGGCCTTCTAATGTGCTGGGATTACAAGTGTGAGCCACTGCACAGGTAGACTTTTTGTTGGTTTGAGACGAAATCTGCCGCCCGGACTGGAGTGCGGTAGTGCAATCTCAGCTCACTGCAACTTCCGCCTCCCCATGCCTCAGCCTGCCAAGTAGCTGGGACTATATAGCTGCACCACCATGCCTACTAGTTCTTTTTGTATTTTTAGTAGAGATGGGGTTTCACCATGTTGGCCAGGCTGGTCTCGAACTCCTGAACTCAAGTGATCTGCCCTCCTCGGCCTCCCAAAGTGCTGGGATTACAGGCGTGAGCTATCGGGCCCAGCTTTCAGACTTCCTTTTTAAAGCAAGATGAGGCCGGGCGTTGGTGGCTCACGCCTGTAATCCCAGCACTTTGGGGGGCCAAGGGGGGTGGATCATGAAGTCAGGAGATTGAGACCATCCTGGCTAAAATGGTGAAACCCCGTCTATACTAAAAAAATTAGCCAGGCGTGGTGGTGGGTGTCTGTAGTCCCAGACACTTGGGAGGCTGAGGCAGGAGAATGGCATGAACCCGGGAGGCGGAGCTTGCCGTGAGCTGAGATCACTTCACTGCACTCCAACCTGTGTGACAGAGTGAGACTCTGTCTCAAAATAAATAAATAAATAAAGCAAGATGAATACTGTCTGGCAATACGGCTGCACCCATGCTACACAGTGACCCAAACACAAAGCCAGAGAAAGTGACAACTTTTTCATCACTAATACCTCCTTTGTTCCCAAATCCACTAAGCCCAAGTCATCTGCTTCTGCCTATACTAACCTTGAAAAAGGGGACTCTCCTGGCAGTAGGAGGTGTCAGCATATTCTCCAGCTTCTGGGAGAGATCTTCTAGCAAGAAAAGTAGCTCAGCGGGCCCAAGTTGCACAACTTCTGTCGCCTGTCACATGGAGGAAAGGATTAGTTCCAAGAATGTCCTAGTCATTTCATGATAATTTTTTTTCTTTCTTTCTTTTTTGTAAATGTGCAGTGGCAAGATCATAGCCATTCCAGCCTTGAACTCCTGGGCCCAAGTTATCCTCCCATCTCAGCCTCCTGAGTAGCTGGGACTACAGGCACACGAAACCATGCCCAGCTACATTTTTTTTTTTTTTAAATTAATAAGAAATGAGGTCTCAGTATATTGCCCGAGCTGGTCTCAAACTCCTGGGCTCAGATGATCCTTCTGCCTCAGCCTCCCAGTGTGCCAGAATTACAGGTATGACCAGCACACCTGGGCTCAGCTAATTTTTAAATTTTTTTTATACAGATGGGGTCTCACTTTGTTGCCCAGGCTGGTTTCAAACTCCTGGGCTCAAGCAAACCTCCTGCCTTGGTCTCTCAAGGTATTGGGATTATGGACAGGCATGAGCCACCACACCTGGCTATTTCATGTTAATACTTTCCAATGGGTGAAAAAAAAACTTTTTTTTGAGACAGAGTCTTGTTCTGTCTCCTAGACTGGAGGGCAGTGGCATGATCTTGGCTCACTACAAGCTCTGCATCCCAGGTTCAAGCAATTCTCCTGTCTCAGCCTCCCAAGCAGCTGGGATTACAGGTGCCCACCACCAGCCTAATTTTTGTATTTTTAGTACAGACGTGTTTCATCACGTTGGCCAGGTTGGTCTCAAACTCTTGACCTCAGGTGATACACCTGTCTCGGTCTCCCAAAGTGCTGTGATTAGAGGTGTGAGCCACCGCGCCTGGCCGGGTAAATAATTTGACTTTTATTTATTTATTTACTTATTTTTGAGACAGGGTCTTGCTCTGTTGCTCAGGCTGGAGTGCAATATTGTGTTCACAGCTCACTGCAGCCTCAACCTCCTGGACTCAAGTGATGGTCCCACCTCAGCTGCCCAGGTAGCTGGGATCACAGGTGTGCGTCACCACGCTTGGCTATTTTTTTTTTTTTTCTTTTTTTTTACTTTTTGTAGAGACAGGTCTCACTGTGTTACCTAGGCTGGTCTCAAACTCCCAGTACTTTGGGAGGTCAAGGAGGGCAGATCATTTGACGTCAGGAGTCTGAGACCAGCCTGGCCAATATGGTGAAATCCCCTCTCTATTAAAAATACAAAAATTAGCCAATGTGGTGGTGGGCACCTGTAATCGCAGATACTTGGGAGGCTGAGGCAGGAGAATCGCTTGAGCTCAGGAGGAAGAGGCTGCAGTGAGCCAAGATCCCGCCACCGTACTCCAGCCTGATGGACAGAGCAAGACTCTGTCTCCAACAAACAAACAAAAAAACTAGCTGGGTGTAGTTGGGCATGCCAGTGGCCCTAGATACTTGGAAGGCTAAGGTGGGAGAATCACTTGATCCTTGAATCCAGGAGTTCAAGGTTGCAGTGAGCTATGATCTTGCCACTGCACTTTAGCCTGGGTGACAGAGCAAGACTCTGTCTCTAAAAAGAAAAAAGAGGCAAAGGAGGAAATTGCACCCATCTCATATAAAGGATAGCTATTATGCTCTGTCATATAATAAAGTCAAGCATGTCCAAAATAAATATTCTGAATAGTAAAATAAGAATTCAAGACAGTATAGTTTAGAAGACATACTTTTTCTCTATAAATTCCTCTGTATACCTTTCCAGTTGTGGATCCAAGATGCATTTCCTAAATATCCTGTGATTAAAAAAATGACTTTGAATGCCACACGCAGAGTTTGGAAAAAAAAAAAAAGACTAATTCAAAGGAATTTCACTTTTGTCTGTTCATTAAATAATCCTTTCATACTTCTCTTCCTCTAATGTTTTGCTACTATTAACTCTGGGCAGGATCCCAGAGTGATCCCAGTGTAATAACTACATTACACTGCCAGAAGCAGAATGGGTGAAATACAGTCTCATTGCAAACTGCTCACTCAATAAACATTTATGTGGAATCTCCTAAGGGTGAGATGATGTAGAAAGATAAAAAAAAAATATGGCTGGGTGCAGTGGCTCACATCTGTAATCCCAGCACTTTCGGAGGCCAAGGTGGGTGGATCACAAGGTCAGGAAATCGAGACCATCCTAGCTAACAACAGTGAAACCCCGTCTCTACTAAAAATACAAAAAATTAGCTGGGCAAGGTGGCTGGCGCCTGTAGTCCTAGCTATTCAGGAGGCTGAAGTGGCAGCAGAATGGCGTGAACCCAGGAGGCAGAGCTTGCAGTGAATGGAGATCGCGCCATTTCACTTCAGCCTGGGCCACAGAGCGAGACTGTCTCAAAAAAAAAAAAAAAAAGAAGTGAGAGGTTCTGTGGAGGAGTGGAGAAATAGTCTTATTTGGGATGAGACGGGCTGCCTCTAGAGAAAATTATTTTACAAAAGCAATTAAAACAGGCCCTAAGGAATATGGGTTCAATTTTAAGTCTAGCCTTGGTGGTTTCTTTACTGTAGCTGAGAAAGGAGGCTGTATTTGACTGTTTGTCTTGGGGACTTGTAGACTAACTGTCCCTGGTTTTTTTCAATGTGGACCTCACTGTCTGAACTATTAAAAAAATTAATAATAATAAAGCTATGGTACTGCTAGCTATTTCCACTTCTTCGATTAGATTAGAAGCTATTTGAAGGCAAGCATCATGCTCTATGTACTACTAAAATGCAAGTACCTTGATTAGTGGCAGACACAAAATAGGACTCAGTAAGCACCTGTCGGGTGCTGAACAAATGTGAAAAAGTGAAAAGGGCAATGACCTCTAAGAACCAGAAAAGTGCTCCTCTACAAAAATAATCTAAGTAGCTTATTAGCAGTAGTAGTAGTAGTAGTAGTAGTAGTAATAGTAGTAGTAGTAGTAGTAGTAACCTAAACGTAAGGATCACATCATTGGCATATTTTATGTCTGACACATTTTTAAAATCCTTATGACTTACAAACACCAATATGATAAGGATGATTATTCATCATTACTTTCACATATAAAGGCTTATACAGTCAGTCTAACTTCTCTCCTCAGTGTCACAGTGTTCTTTGTGAAATAAGAATAGACCTGAGGAACTTTCTGAAAGAAGATTAAATTCTGAGATCCTAGCCTGTCACTTACTTCAGTGTGCATTTCAGTATCTAAGATGAACTTGGTCACAAGTCCACAATGTAGAATAGAGAAGACCTCAATGTCCAGCTCTCGGAAAAAAGCATGGTAATTATGTAGTAACAATGATGTCTTTTCTTCCTTCCCTGTGAACTCCTATGGGGAAGTCACGGCAACAAAGAGAATAAATAAATCTTCTATATTAATCAAATTTTAATAAAAACTTCAAAGTGCAAATATGCATTTATTTAATGCAAAAAATTACATTTTTATTATAATAACAAATTTCTCTAGCAAAAGTCCCTAAATATTCCCAAGACAGAGCACCTAATTTAAGATGGGGATACAAGTCACACATCAAGACCCTTAGCTGGTTTCTATTTAGGGATGATCTATTAGGCAAATCAAGGCATTTAGGTCTAGTGTAGAAAACTGTGAGCTGGCCGGGCATGGTGGTTCATGCCTGTAATCCCAGCACTTTGGGAGGCTGAGGCAGGTGGATCACGAGGTCAGGAGTTTGAGACCAGCCTGGCCAAGATGGTGAAACCCCGTCTCTACTAAAAGTATAAAAATTAGCTGGGTGTGGTGGTGTATGCCTGTAGTCCCAGCTACTCGGGAGGCTGAGGTAGGAGAATCACTTGAACCCAGGAGGTGGAGGTTGCAGTGAGCCGAGATGGCACCACTGCACTCCAGCCTGGGTGACAGTGCGAGACTCCATCTCAGAAAAAAAAAAAAAAAAAAGAAAAAAAACTGTGAGCTTAGGGGCCAGAATGGTCTGGCTTCAAATCCTAGCTCCAGCATTTATTAACTGTGTGACTTTGGGCACTTGTCTTCCCTGGGTCTTAGTTTCCTTATTCATTAAATGTGGTATTAATATTAAACTTGGGCTCTTAGAGAAACTATACCTAATAAATACACAATAAATGGTAGCTGATAAACAGAAATAATTGGGATCCATGTGGTCCAGGAAATTTCAAACACATGAAACTCATTCTGCGAACAGTACAAATGTAAAGTAAAAGGGAACTAATGATAATCAAGTACCTCAAGAGAGAATTCAATGTATTGCTGGGATACAAAAAAGGGACTAAAACAGTCAAGAAAATAATTAGAAAAAACAGTCAACGGTGTGTGGCAGGAATAAGGACCTACAGTCTAATCTGAACTTTGCTACTAAGGAGATTACTCCAAGGCCTAAGAGAGTTTTGGCTTGCTGTTTCCTAATTTTCTTTTTCTTTGTAAAATGCAGAGAATAAAGTTGGGGTTCTGCTACTCTCATTTGGATGTCACAAACCTTCATGGATACCCATCAGTCCAATACCTTGTTCAGCTGGCCTCTATGAGATGGTGTAGGGTCACATTCTGAATTTTTCTCTTCTGAAATTGTGTCAGAGGAGGATGTCTTGCTACCATCTGCTTTTTGTTTCCTTTCTTTTATATTAAAAAGAGAAAAATGACTCAAGTAATTAATAATCATGTCAGCCAAATATCATTGCCCTCAGAAAACAACCTGTTGGGAACTGCCTAGAGGTAGAAAAGTTAATTTTATAACCCTAAATTACAGTGTATTTATAAATCTAACAAAGGGTTCAGTTATACAATTGCTCCAATTATTTATGCCATGATACACATAACTTTTAGGTTAATTCAATGCAGCTCATTTAGAGACAGAAGACGAGGAAAAGAACATACTTACCTATTTTTCCTTTCTTTCTGATTTTTGCTGAAATAGCAGTAACAGTATGAGGTGTTATATCTAAAGTTTCCACGTCAAAGTTTCCAAGAGGAGGGATATAGTCTGGGGTGACTGAAACAAAGAGCAGGTTGAAGCTCAATGAGTACCAATTACACGCCACCATTAGACTTGAAATTCAGTCACTCCATTGGCTAAAAACTAGTTTCCAAAATTACCAAGTGTGGCTGAATGCTTATAAGACATATTCAAGTCATCTGACATTGTTTTGGCATAGCAAAATGGCCAGAGATAACACAGAAATATCATATTATGATAAATTATCATAAAACAACTTTAAATAATGATATATAACTAACAAACAGATAAAAACTAAAACAAACATTTAAAATCCAAATGGTGGCCAGGCAGGGTGGCTCACGCCTGTAATCCCAAGCACTTTGGGAGGCCAAGGCGGGTGGATCACCTGAGGTCAGGAGTTTGACACCAGTCTGGCCAACATGGTGTAACCCTGTCTCTACCAAAACTACAAAAATGAGCCGGGTGTGCTGGCAGGTGCCTGTAATAGCAGCTACTCGGGAGGTTGAGGCAGGAGAACTGCCTGAACCCAGGAGGCAGAGGTTGTAGTAAGGATCTTATTCATTCTATCTAACTATATTTTTGAACCTATTAACCACCCTACCATTTTTCCTAGTCCCCCAACCACCATTACCCTCCCCAGCCTCTGGTAACCATCCTTCTACTCTATCTCCATGAGTCAAATTATTTTAATTTTCAGCTCCCACAAATATGTGAAAACATGTTGTGCCTGGCCTATTTCACTTAACATAATGTCCTCCAATTCCATCTGTATTATTGCAAACAACAGGAGCTCATTGTTTTTCATGGCTGAATAGTACTCCATTGTGTATATGTACCACATTTTATCCATTCACCCACAGATGGACACTTAGGTTGCTTCCAAATCTTGACTATTGTGAATAGCACTGCAATAAACATGGGAGTGCAGATATCTCCTTGGTATACTGATTTCCTTTCTTTTGGGTATACACCTATCAGTGGCATTCCTGGATCATATAGTGATTCTATTTTTAGTTTTTTGAGGAAACTCCAAACTGTTTTCCATAGTGCTTGTACTAATTTACATTCCCACCAACAGCGTACAAAGGTTGTCTTTTCTCCATATTCTCACCAGCATTTGTTATTGCCTGTCTTTTGGATAAAAGCCATCTTAACTAGGGTGAGATGATATCTCATGGCAGTTTTGATTTGCATTTCTCTGATGCTTAGTGATGTTTAGCACGTTTTCATATATCCACCATTTGTATGTCTTGTTTTGAGGAATGTCTATTCAGACCTTTTACCCATTTTTCAATCCGAATAAATTTTTTTCCTATCTTTATATATTCTAGTTATTAATCCCTTGTCAGTACATAGTTTGCAAATATTTTCTCCCTTTCTGTGGGCTGTGTCTTCACTTTGGTGTTTCCTTTGCTATGCAGAGGAAAGGAACTTAACTTTTTAACTTAATGTGATCCAATTTGTCCATTTTTGCTTTGGTTGCCTGTGTTTGTACGGTATTCCTCAAGAAATCTTTGTCCACTCTAATGTCCTGAAGAGTTTTCTGAATGTTTTTTGTTATTGTTGTTGTTAGTAGTTTCATAATTTGAAGTCTTAGATTTAAGTCTACAATCCGTTTTGATTTTTCTATATGGCAAGAGATAGGGGTCTAGTTTCATTCTTCTGCACATGGATGTCCAGTTTTCCCAACACCATTTATTGAAGACAGTGTCCTTCCCCAATGTATATTCTTGGCACCTTTGCTTAGAATGAGTTCATTGTAGGTATATGGATTTATTTCTGGGCTCTCTTCTGTTCCACTGGTGTATGCATCTGTTTTTATGCCAGCACCATGCTGTTTTGGTTACTATAGCTCTGTAGTATAATTTGAAGTCAGGTAATGTGATTCCTCCAGTTTCATTCATTTTACTCAGGACAGCTTTGGCTATTCTGGGTCTTCAGTGGTTCTATATAAATTTTAGGATTTTTTTTTTCTATTTCTGTGAAGAATCTCATTGGTATTTTGATAGGGATTACCTTGAATCTGTAGATTGTGTTGGGTAGTATGGAAATTTTAACACTATTAATTCTTCCGATCCATGAACATGAAGCATCTTTCCCTTTTTTATTTGCTCTTCAATTTCTTGCATCAATGTTTCATAGTTCTCATTGTAGTGCTCTTTCACTTCTTTGGTTAAGTTTATTCCTATTTTATTTGTAACTTTTGTTTGTTTTATTTGTAGCTATTGTAAATGGATTACTTTCTTGATAATTTTCAGATTCTTAGTTGTTGGTATACAGAAATGCTACTCATTTTTATATGATGAGTTTGTATCTTGCAACTTTACTAAATTTATCTAATAGTTTTTTAATGGAGTCTTTAGGCTTTTCCAAATATAAGATCATATCTGCAAACAAGTATAATTTAACATTTTCCTTTATAATTTGGTGCCCTTCCTTTCTTTCTCTTAATTGTTCTAGCTTGGACTTCCAATACTGTATTGTATAATAGTGGTATTATATAAGTGGGTATCCTTGTCTTGTTCCAGATCTTAGAGAAAAGGCTTTCAGTTTTTCCCTGTTCAGTTTAATAGTAGCTATGGGTCTATACCCAGTTTTCTGAGAGACTTTTTTTATGATGAAGGGAAGTTGAATTTTAAAAAAATTTTTTAAGCATCAAGTTAAATATCAGGTGGCTTTTGTCCTTCATTCTGTTGATAGGATGTATCACATTGATTTATGTATGTTGAACAATCCTTGCATCCCTGGGATAAATCATCCCATTTGGCCATGATGAATGATCTTTTTTTTGTTTGTTTTTGAGATGGGAGTCTTGCTCTGTCACCCAGGCTGGAGTGCAGTGGCGCAATCTTGGCTCACTGCAACCTCCGCCTCCTAGGTTCAAGCGATTCTCCTGTCTCAGCCTCCTGAGTAGCTGGGATTACAGGCTGTCTCTTATACACATCTAGATGTGTATAAGAGACAGGTGCAGTGGCGTGATCTTGGCTCACTGCAAGCTCCGCCTCCTGGGTTCACACCATTCTCCTGCCGCAGCCTCCCAAGTAGCTGGGACTACAGGTGCCCATCACTACGCCCGGCTAATTTTTTTTGTATTTTCAGTAGAGACAGGGTTTCACCGTGTTAGTGAGGATGGTCTCGATCTCCTGACCTCATGATCTGCCCGTCTTGGCCTCCCAAAGTGCTGGGATCACAGGCATGAGCCACCACACCCAGCTGAGGTTTCTTTTTTTGATGTGTCTTTGTCTGGTTTTGGTATCAGGGAAAGCTAAGCACTTTATTGCCTCACTACTGGCCTAGTAGGACTACCAGTATAGGACATGTCCCTTACCTGCCAAGTACTTTTCCAGGATTATTTGCAGTTCTACAATGTGCTTTAACCGGGTGAGCACCTTCCCCTTCATCTCAGGTGACGTTTCCTGGCAGAAGGCATTCACAATCTGCAAAGTACAAATTACACTGTCATACTTCCAAATGTTCAGATTTTAACCTTGTTTGTATTATTTATCCAGAGCTGAGAGATGTCTATGAAAAGCAGGATCTTTGAGTTTAGTCTGTAATAGAACTGTCCTCAGCAAGGTGGTATAGAGAAAAATAATTTCTGGGCCAAAATATAGGAGATTCAGCCAGGCGCGGTGGCTCACGTTTATAATCCCAGCACTTTGGGAGGCCAAGGCAGGAGGATCACTTGAGGCCAGGAGTTCGAGACCAGTCTGGCCAACATGGTGAAAGCCCATCTCTACCAAAAATACAAAAATTAGCTGGGCATGGTGGCACATGTCTGTAATCCCAGCTACTAGGGAGGCTGAGGCAGGAGAATTGCCTGAACCTGGGAAACGGAGGTTGCGGTGAGCCGAGATTGAGCCACTGCACTCCAGCCAGGGTGACACAGCAAGACTCCATCTCAAAAAAACAAAAAGTGAAGGAGATTAGGCTTGTGACCCTAGTTTTACTTATTACTAGTTATGTTACAAGCTGGAATAGCCAGAGAGCACATAATTTGGTGAAACAAGTTCTATTCTGCTCCTTACTAACTGTGTGACCTTGGCTGAATCTTTAACCTTTCTAAGATTTTCTTCATAAAGAAATGAGTCCAGCACTTGGTACAGTGTAAGTACTTAAAAATTTTTAATGACTTTGAACTCCCTATACTTGAAATTCATTTGTGTAAAATGAGGACAATAGTATTCCTGCCCATATCACAATAGAGATGTGGTAATCAAATAAGCTCATTCAAGTGCATAAACATTCCTGAAATAACATGTGAGAGGAAGTCAGTGAGATAGAGACATAAGATGTTGTCATCATTGTCATTATCACTAAACACAAATATGTTCTAATGGGAGGGAAACTACCACCACTCACTGAATCAAAACAATAGGCATATGCCTGTGCTAGGATGGACAGTAGTTCTACAGTGAAGAAGGTGAGAAGGTCATTCTAGGCAGAAGGCAGCTTGGAGGAAATAAAACGTGGGCAATGTGAAGTGAATTCTAAGTATTCTGATTTGGCTACATAAGGAGGATCATATAATTGGGGAGTGGTGGGACATAACAGCTAGAGAAGCACAAGGGGGTTAGTGCTTGGTGAAGACTTCTAGGGAATCTTGCGAGAACTAAGAAAATAGTTTTGAGAAAAACTACGGACAATAAGTGAAACATCGTATTAACTCTGCTTACCTCTCGGAACCAGTTGAGAGTAAGAAATAGGAGAGAACACATGAATGCACGCTCTTTAGCAGACATGGACTCCAGCCTCTCTCCAGGCTCCAGGTCAGTTAGGAATATAGGACAATCTGAGAGAGAACAAACATTTCCAACTACCTTTAGTGCAAGCCAATAAAACCTGGAGGTTGCCTCTGGAGCTAGCTCTGCTTGCTATTTACTTTCCCCTTTAACTCACATTTGAAGGCCAAGATCTGATTAAAATATTTGCATATCATATGGCAATCAACAAATATAATTAGAAAGTTTTTGTAACAATTGATTTGTTAACATAATGGGATTCTGTATGCACTATTTTGTCTTTGGAATTCCAATGCTAAACTACTCTGTTGAGGTTAAAAAATTATTCCTTCCCACATATACCATGTACTGATATGCCCTTTCCCTAAGTTTACCAAAGAAAGAGTACAAAGAAGAAAGGATCTGATGACTTCATCCTATACCTAGTAGACCATCAATCTCCTCCAAGTTTCCGTTATGCTGTCTCTCCACACAAAGTCTCAGTAATCGGAAATAGGGAGCCAGGCACAGTGGAGACACCAATCTGAGAAGGAAAAATAAATTTCTAGACCACACTTAATAGGTATATGACTCTACATACATAGGAAGCACAACTTTTTTTTTGAGACAGAGTCTTGCTCTGTCACCCAGGCTGGAGTGCAGTGGTGTGATCTCAGCTCACTGAAACCTCTGCCTCCCAGGTTCAAGCAATTCTCCTGCCTCGGCCTCCTGAGTAGCTGGGATTATAGGCGCACACCACACTGTCCGACTAATTTTTGTATTTTTA